ATACCTAATGTGCGTTCAACTGGTAGAGTATCAACAGGCAAATCTCGTACGGTAGGTGCTCTGTCTTCTGGATCTATATGCTTCAAAACGTCTAGGCTGTTCGAGACCCACTTAGTTAGACGAAAGCCGGCCTTAGCTAACACTTCAGTAATGCTTGTTGCAAATCTAACTGCAGACTTATCATCATCGAAGGAGGCTAAACAATCATCCACGTAGAAGCAACAATCTATGACGTCCAGCAAATCATTAGAACCAAATGTGGACACTGCCTTTCGTAGAGCAAAATTAGCACAAAACGGGGAGGACGTGGCACCAAATGGATGCACTGTCATCCTATATTCTGACACCTTACCACAAGGACCGTCATCAAACCACAAAAACCTCAAGTGATCTCTGTCACTCTCTGGCACCTTCACCTGTAGGAACATTTCCTCAATATCCGCCGCGACAGCAACTGTAAACTTTCTGAATCTCAATAGCAGTCCCACTAATGAGCTCACGCAATCTGGGCCACTATACAGATTATCATTTAAAGAGACTCCTTCATGTTTCGCAGAACAATCAAACACCACACGGAGTTTACCTGGCTTCCTCGGGTTAAAGACGGGATGATGGGGCAAATACCACTTCCCTGGCTCACTCTGATCAACTAGTCTTTCAACGTAACCCTTCATTATATGTTTATCGACGACTTCCTTATATTTGGACCAGAGTTCTGCATCTGACAGAAATTTCTTCTGTAAACCCATTAGTCTCTTAAGAGCAACTTTCCTATTACAAACCAACTGTCTATCTTTGAATCTCCATGGTAGGCCAACGCTGAAACGCCCGTTTTCGTATTTACAAGAGTCCTCGGCTATTTTAACTGCTTTTAAGTCTTCTACAGAACGACCCTTCCCTGGGACACCGCAGTCACAAAACTCCTTGTCATACATATTTTTAATCATAGTTTCTAGTTTGTCCCCATCGTTTGTAACTAATGATGATATGTGGACTATGGGTATAGGTCCTCTCACTGTCCATCCCAGTGGTTTTTTGTCGCAAACAGATCATCTCTACCTCCAAATCTCTCTTCTAATACCTTGTGAGCTTCTGGCACACTACATCCAATGAGTACTCTCACTCTTCCATCTTGCAGTGTTGGAAGAGGTATGTCACACAGGTATGGCTTACCGACAACCGTTTCACGACTAGGTACTATAGCTTCGCCAAGTTTCATACTGGAGGTAGTGTAAGCAGTATCCACTTCCACGGTCTCCCCAGTAGCCAAGGATTCTAACTGAAATGACACTCGCTCACATACTACTGTTTTCGCAGAATTGAAAGTATTTACAACCAAGGGTTGCTTTGGGCCTTTAATACCCAAGCAACCAGCCAGTTCAGCATCTATCAATGTAACGTCTGAACCATTATCCAACAATGCATAAGTCTCTACTGAAGATTTCGGTCCTTTCACCTTAACTGGTAATACCCCTAAGAAAACTTGTGGGATGTCAAGGGGTCTAGAGATACTATTACAATTAACCGAATTCCCAGGTTCGTTTGTGTCTCAGAAGTGGGTGCATATCCGTTAAACCACTACTTCTTTTTTTGTCGCCTTACAATTCCACTTTGTATGCCCAATCTTTAAACAACTGAAACACAGCCGCTTCTGCTTTGCCATTTTTAACCTTTCTACGGGTGACATAGCGATAAAGCGATTACAATCACTCAATTGATGCATGTTATGGCAAACAATACACTCATCCTTTCTCGTTGTGTCTTGAGACTTCACCACAAATGCCTTCCTTATATTCACTGGTTCCTTAGGTTCTACCTTAGAATGCAAAATGCTGGCGAATTTGCCCATCGCCTGGTTGACACTGTCCTTCACCAGTCTAAGAATATCATCAAACCTTGGCTCGATACCCTCCTCCTCTATACGAGAGCTTATTTTTACCCACTTCCTTTGCAGCCGAGTAGGTAGGCGTCTCGCAATTACCTCTAGGACTGAGCTCGAGTTGAGGTCACTCATGCAATTCATAGAAATCAAGGTATTCTTATAAGTCATAAGATTATCTAAAAACTCAGTAAGTGCCTTGGAGTCATCTTGAAGTTGACTGCCGTTACCTTTGACAGCTTCGTATACGTTCCTTACAATCATCGAAGGTCTTCCAAACCTTTGACGTAATATGCTCATAGCCTCAGCGTATCCCTCATTAGGGGGCATGAGCTTACAGCACTGTATAGCTCTTGAAGCATCTCCAGTGCAATACCTCATCAAATACATCAATTTCAATTCATCACTTAATAAAAAACTACTCAGCATGATCTCAAACTCCTTTACAAATTGTAAATAATCAGCCGGGTTTCCATCAAAACACCGTGGTTCAAACTTAGGGAGTTTGATGTTCCTATTATCCCTGAACGGCGAAACAGTAACATCAACCATGTCATGCTTAACATCAGACACATCGTTACAATTAACAGACAAGTCACCATGACTTACTTTCCTGTTTGTATCCAAGACACTCTGTCCCTTCTTTGACCCAGGCATTGTTGAACTTGACCCAATTCCAAAAACGTTCCAGATATTGCTTGTTCAAAGAGGACTTGACCGGCACCAGGAAAGATGAATGGTGACTATCCAAACGTCACCAACTGTGTGAATCGTCATAAACTGTTTCCACCGTCAGAAACTGTCAGCCACGTCTCGTAAACCGTTAATGCCCAGCTCTTGCTTCACGGGCTCACGCTGTTCCTTGAAGTTTCTCAGAAACGCTTAGTAATAACGGACGAAAAAACCAAAACACCGATTGGCCACTCGAGAATTCTTTATTGTAACACCAACTAAGGTCTATGAACAAATATTACAATAATAAATCACGATATTACTTCTGACGGTTGTCTGCTGACTTCTTTTGAACAGCGACCGATGAGACGATGACTGGGGTATTGATGCCTCCGCGAAAATTGGGGAAGTTGGTTTTGAGCAAACAACCATGAATCAATCGATCAATCTTCAACTACATTGACACTCACTGTCAGCTGCATATATGGCAAAGTGAGGGGGTTGAGGGTGAAAGCAGGTGAACTCAGGAGCCTCACATCGTATCCTTGATATGATTATGAGCAATAAATTGTGCTCGAAACGTCATCAGTAAACATTACTGTATAACACTGTGATACTTTATCGAAACAAATTATACCCATAATGGAATTATACTCTACCACAGTGCACAAGATTTATTCTTCTATCAGAAGCCTCCAGTCTCACCTAGACCTTAAAATAATAATCCTGACCGAAACCTGGCTGATCCTCACTATCGCTGTCAACGAAATCAGTAAAAGTGATATAGTTCTGCTCAAGAGAGACAGGGATAACAAGGAAGTACGGAGTTGCCGTTTACTTTAACAAGCATCTTTAATGTGCATGTGCAATGGACTCCCCACTTATTGAACTCCTAGACTCCGTATGGTGTCATTTCACTGTTCGGAGAGCAATAAACTGTTCGAAAGACTCAGATAGGCTTCAGGCAGATCTAAAGCTTCTGGAAGACTGCGCTATGGTCAGTAGTATGACTTTCAACCTGAAAAACTGCAAAGTAATGAAATTATGAACCTGAAGGCTGCAGAATGCAAATTACACACTTTGCAAGGAAAGCTAATCTTGCAGAACGTCGGGGCGTGACTAAAGTCTAGTTCTAACGGAAAAAGTAAACACAAGAGTAAATTACACAGGGGACTTAGCGAGGGAATATGCGGTCATACTCTTTACACATAGACAGTTAGGTCCGGTAACTCCTGATCTCTTTCTAAGGTTGCAGACCACTTTTTGAAGTGCACAATATCACTGCATACCCACTGCTCAGAAGAGACCCAGGCCTTTGGAAAAAGTCCGAAGACGAAGAAAGGTGTGGTGGGTACCCGAAACAAACCGTATAATGAACGAGTAAAGAAAGTAGTTCTCTTCACACTTAACAGCTGTCAGCTTAGGAGGGGTGTGATTACTGCCCATAAGATAACAAATGACCGGAATCAACCAAACAAAGGTGTTCTGCTATTGAGTAGGTATGGACCTGCTCGTGGAAATCCCCGTAGGATAGCGCACGAGAGGGCAATGACTCGAGTGCACACCCATCTCTTTGCATTGCGGGTTTGGTCTCCATGGAACCCTTTGCCAGAACATGAAACTACGCGCAGTCTGTGGGTGAAGGCTGAACAGTCATGCAGCGACACAAGGACTGCGTCCAAATGGCCTATCCCCTAAAAATCCCATGCATTATTCATGAGTAGGCATCTAAACTCATCGTTTCGCTACTTGATATTCTCTCCTGTCTTTCTCTACTGATTACTCTAACTGATGAACTTTCACTTGTTATAAAAGTTATTACTGTTGATGTTATATACATATATATTTATATATGTATGTATCAACTTCAATTTTCAGCTGTCTGTTTGTACGTGTTCTTTATTTCTTTTTCTGTCTTTTAGTCTGAATAACCTACCTTAATTATATGTTTAATTATATATATATATATATATATATGTAATTATGCATTACAATTACTATTATTATCTATTTTGCTCTTTTAACAACACCGGAGGACTAACAGGCGAAAGGATCAACTTCAATCACAGTAGCAATAAAGTCTTAACACACCACATACAACAAACAACATATAATTAATCCCAGCACTTCTTCTTTGGGGGTCAACCACAGCTACGGCAATCGAGTGGAGGAACGAAACACGCAGAAGTTTGCCGAAGACCAAGAGCCCTACCCTCACAATCACGAATCGAGTACAGAAAATTTAAATTGGTTTGTACCCGCTCGTAAAAGCGATATTGAATATTAAATGCCCGTAACCTAAAATCTGGATATTTAAGAAAAATGTGTTGAAAACTAGTAAGTATGGCGTGTTCACTTTTTAGAAACTGTCTGCTGCTCCACAATATACTGAAACCTAAGTATTTTCTTAAACATGAACAAATGGTCTTTGTACGATTGAATTCACTGTAGTTAATAAGGTCATTTTAATGTGGGATTTTAAGTATACCCAATGGACGTGTTGAGATTTATTTTTTAACTTTGTTTTATTCTTCTTTGTAAATGGTATGTTTATTCACAGCACTAGAGATAATCAAAATTGTTTAATTTTTCACTTGTCAGCAATAAATTATGGAGTCATCTCGAGTGTAGTTGTTTCATATGATAGATTGGAGTTTATTGTTGAAACTTACAAAGTTTATCGATGCATATTGTTCGAGATGACCGATTTCCTACGAAGTATTTGATTGTTTCGAATTTCTTGTCCATAGAATAATATGAAGCGTCAGGTTCTGCTTAGTGGATATTCATAATACCAAGACATATGTGCTTAGTCTTATAAATAAATGTGACCTTGATTTATGTGTGTTTGAAATATTCCCTGATGACGTTTACTCTCCTTGCTAAACTGAACTTCTAGTTGAAATACAGAACCATTTTTTGTCATAAAATGCAAACAAAACACATGTTCATTTAAGCTGTAAATATAACGAACTCATCAGTTTGTATGGGAATGAGAATAGCTTTGTGAAATTACACAAATGTAAATATTTACTCCAGCGTTTTTGTGTAGTTATTCAAAGCAAAATATTCTTCGCTTACTCTTGCGGTGCTTTTAGGGAAAAAACAAGTGGAGCTCTTCGTTAAGGGATTCTTTGGAATTCCTTCCGACATCGTATATGATGTATGGAATTTTCCATGAGATACTTAGGTGGGTAAGTACTTTGCAGGAAAATTCGATGCGTTTTTCTTAGTAATTTATGCTTCAGCCTCTTTTGGCCTTGCACAGTTAACAAACCATTTGAGGTATCGAATTTTGAATAGGTAGATACACCTTTCACCAAGATGTTACTCTTCGGTTCACCGAATACTAATATAAGAACACTCATGCTATGTTTTGTAAATGAATGGCATTTATATAAGTGTTGATATTATGCTGGAAACAGTTGTTCATGCAATTTCCCACGACTATTCAGCCCAAGATAACACTAAAAGTTCTGTCAACGATAATTTTAGTTCAGAGATTAAATTAAAAACCAACACTCTGACGTTATCAAAACATGAACCAAGTACCCGCTTAAACTATATAACATGAAAGCTTCAAATTACCAGAAAATTTGATCGCTTTCTTTCTTTCCTGACAGTTGATGCACCAAACTGGAGCTACTTGTGTACACAAGACGTCTCTCCACTCATCTTCTTGTCTACCTCTGTGTGCTATTTGGAACGTGGCAACTCGAACTGCTGCACTTCGGTGCCAAGTTCTATGTTGAATCCAGACAGACACAAGACGTGTAATAGTGAGTAGTATACCTTTTTGGTCCCACTTTAAAGTTTTACAAGCACTGTTTTGCTCGCTAAAATTCGCTTCTGTAAACTAACTTGTCCCTGACACAGTTCTCAGAGGCTTTTTTGTTTACTTCCAATTAATTATGGTTATGGTCCTTATTGTCTAGTTGTTTGTGTAACGCAAGATATCTGAATAACCTGCTCACCTGGTCCATATCACACATGCTTCCCCATCATGTAAGTCCTAAATTAAGAAGATGCACGTGAGACGTCATATATTCAAAAATAACGGATGACAGTATTGTAACACTACAACATACCTCATTTACGGCTCTAATCCTAATTCAAACTTCGAATAACCATAGAAACCATGCTAAACAAGTAGATATCAGTGATCTGGCTTCATAGTTGCTGTTGACCTCCGATACCCCATTGACTTTCAATGTCGTCCACGTGTCTGAAGTAAATAATGCAGCATCCCATATCACAGAGTATATATTTTTTAGATTGTGACAAAAGTTCAAGGTAACTTCACCAAATCATACGTAGACTAGCCGTAATATATTTGGTAAACCAACCGGTTATTTTCTGAGGTCTTGTTGGCAAAATTACTTGACTTAATTGATTGATAATATCTTTAACAATTAAATTTTTATTCCTATGGCAACCGAGTGTTATGAGTAATTCAATTTTAAAGGAATTCATTTTATCTGCAGTGTTACCTTCGACTGCCATATTATTACCATTATCATTGTTCATGACCACCGCTCGGATGCACTTAAAAGTAGATATTTTTCACTTTCTGTAGTATATTGGTAGAAGCACGTAAATCCTACCGTAGGTTAGGGTAACTTATACTGGGTACAAAATATGATATGTTCTTGAGGCATATGGGAGTGAGGTATTTGGTATTGTTTCATCTTCTGATTAAAGTCAAGAGTGTGTAGAAGGTGGGGAACTGATGTACTTCCAAAGTAATTTTGGATGGATAAAGAATATTAAGTTTTCAACGGGAAGAGGATGAAGTTATTTTAAAGGAATTCAGCTCAAAAAACTGTTATACGCCATTCAGTTATATGTCGAGTGTAAGCAGAGCGAGTTGAAGGTGAGATAGAAATATCAGCGTAGTAATTATTATTATTGCTCCCTTGGGTTCTTAGTGGAACATAGGGCTTCAACTGCACGTCTCCACTTGCTTCTGTCTTCTGCTGTACTTTTCACCTGCATCCATGTTAGTCCATACTGTTTAAACTCCTCTTCACACGATCTCCTCCATGTCACCCTTGCACTGACGTCCCACTCGCCGCTCCCCTTTCGGGTTCCACTCGAGGGCTTGACGCGCGATGTCACCCAGGGGTCTCCTCAGCGAGTGTCCGATCCATCTTCACTTTCTCCTGCATATTTGTTTGGCGTAGTAATTAAATTTTGGGTTTTAAGATAGATTAGAAGTATTTCGAAACGTCTAACTTTCGTCCATATATGGCAGTCGAACACTGGAGCACCATTGTCACACAAATTGTATATGCTTTTAAGGACAGTCTCTAACAGGTAAATAGTAATATTGAAGAAGCAGTAAATTGCAAGCCAAATCAAACGATTTAGTATGGTTAGCAAATCACTCTCAAAAATACTCACTGTCCAAGTTTAAACTATGTATATAAAAAGATGAATAAGTGTTTGTCTGAACAGGAACAACTGCATAGGTTTTTGTGTAAAAAGAGGAAAATAATTTTAATTTTTCAGAGTTGTTAGTATATGTTAGCCTTCCTTTCGTCATTGAAATGGCGTGACTCTTGCAAAAGTCATCCAAGGGAATGATGCTCATAAGATTTACATATCTTCACATTATATGATCATGATTGCACACCATTCGATCTATTAACTGGTGTTTCTCTGAACTAATTTGTACATATGAATAGTGGTATTCATTATTTCCGCTAATTAGGCAACGGGCGAATTCTTCCTTTACTTTATTAGATTTTCATAGTTCCTGATATAGTAGAGAGAACAATGAGTAGCATTATTTAGTTCACTAAATGTTTACTATTACTTGCTGATTAACTCAAGGGGAGTGAGACTACAAGATGTAGTGAATCTGTGGTTGTGAAATAATAATCCAGAGAGTAGAGATTAGTATTCTAGGAAGTAGCTGTAAAAAGTCTCGCAATATCATATACTCGTCACTTAGTGCTCCATATGTTTTTGTGGTCACTTTCAAAGAAGGGCTTAATCATTTTAATCTGGATACCTTATTTCAAAAGCGTCTAAAGACAATAGTTCCTGATAACATGCATGTGATGTGGTTGTGTACATACATAATAAGCTTCAGTCTTGATATCCAACTACTCAATATTTATCAGTGGTAGAAAACAAAAAGCATTATGTCGTGGGAACTCTGCATTGTTCTAATGTCTGTAGCTCTTAATCAGTAGGCAGAACTTCAAAATGGTTTAGGAATTAGTTACCAATTTAATTTAATACTAATTAGGACTCACTACGGAGATTTTTCATATTTGCTCCTATATTTGCGTATGAAGTTTATACTTGTTCTGTTGTTTCAGATCTATACAATGGTGCATTTTCATAATTTTTACTTAAGTTCAACATGAATCCTCAAGCTGATATGTGTGCTGACTGCAATGCGCCATCTCCACAATGGGCATCGGTCAACCGCGGTGTTTTATTGTGTGATGAATGCAGTTCTATTCATAGACAGCTCGGAAGACATATAAGCCAGGTTTGTTCCATTTTATATTTATTCCTAATAATCTGAAAATCCACAGATTAAGCACCTTAAAAAGTCACGTTGGAGACCATCACAACTTTCAATGGTCCGTTATCTTGCATCCGCCGGAGCTAATGGTTATTGGGAGCACATTCTATATGAACCGATGCTCAGTGGTCCCAACGCAGATCATCATCGATTAAGCAAATCATTTCAACCACATAAAAAGCCATTACCATCTGATCCAGTGCATCCAACAAAAGCTGACTTTATACGAGAAAAATATTTATTTCTGGGATTTTTTAAGAAACCACGAAATATTAATCAAGATGATTTAAATCAACAACTTCACGCCAGTGTCCGAACGGGAGTTTTAGAAACTAGCTTATATTTACTTGCATTGGTGAGTGACTGGTATTTTAACTGACATGAACTACTGATTGATTTTGTTTATATAATGGTGTGTGCTTTTGATGGAATGATGCATTCGAATTACACTGTAAACCGTCAAAATAGACTTGTAGGAGTTAGCGGTAGTTAGGGCTCACTCATTATCCTTACCTATGTTGTGTTCATGTCACAAATAAATAAAGTGTAGAATGACAGAACAGTTAAGCTGATAAAGACATAATATCAGTATTTGAATTTATTTGGTGGTAATTGGCAAAATAATAGTGCACTTCGCTCAGCACACTGCAGCAGTAAGGGAAATTTAAAAAGAAACTGAGTTTCTAACGTAAAATTTTGAACAATGGGCAACAGTCAAAGCTACCATACTTCATAGAGCACAGCGGTATATAGAAAAACCCTCATGAACTGAGATGTAAGGGAGAGAAAATAAGTAAGTAAAGAATAATAAAAATTCGGTGGATGTAGGATTTCATAAAGAATGAACGCATCTGTACCACTGAGTACGATTTGGACACATTACCAACAGTCTTCATAGATTAGTTCTTAGCATCTTGAAACATCTAGCCTGTCAATCTATATATTTCTATGTAGCTGAAACCAGCCAAAGACTTCATGGATTGATGTCATGTTTGATTTGACCACCCCTAACCCTTTTCCAACCTAATCGTGTGTTAACTAACATCGCTTGACGAAGGTGGCGATGATTCGGTACGAGTAACACATCCTAGTTTATGCACCTTCACGAACTCATCAACTGACTTCCTCTTCTTGTCTAAAGGCGATATTACTCACCAAATACCACTGGACTGAAACACCCATAGTTGAAGGCAGCTGGTCTTTTCAGGTCGCCCACTTATAGTGGCCAATTATCACACCCATAATGAAGGAAATAGCGAAGCGGTGCACTGTACACATGTCTTTTGATCGATAGCTGGATGTCATAGTGGTGACGTCATCTCTCAAATTCCTAACGAGTCCTTTCTATGGGTGCTAAGAGTTTGTTAGCTGTCAATCCGTTAGGACCGATGCGACTTCCTGAATAAGTGAAGTGGCCAACACTCTCAGTCACTTCACTTCGCATCTATAAACTACGAGTCCATGGAGGTCAGTCCTGAGCCATCATCTTACATTTGGCTGGTGCGAATCGCTTGCAAACACACTGAGACTTCTACTCTAGATGTTTAGAAGACTGCGCATTTTATCAGTGTCTTTGCTTAGGAAGACAATATTGTCCGTATACTCTAAGTCGACAAGAATACCCTAGTAACGTGTCAGTTCGTAAGTCACCAAAGTCGACTACTGCATCTATGATGAGATTTTAAAGAAATGGGGAGAATGAGCATCCCTGGCAAACGCCAATGATTGTCATCACCTCAAATGAAAACTGTCCATAAGATTTTACTCGTTTGCCTGAGTTTATGTAGAGGGTCTTGATTAGCGCGACACATTTCCTCGACATTCCCTCCGGGAGCCTATATTGTCGATGGAGTCAAATGCTATCTTCAGGGTAAGGAATACGTCAAGTGTTAAACGTCGTTAATCGTATTTATGTTTCAGAATCTATCGAAGGATGAAGATATGTTCAATACACCCTTGTTCAGGCTTAAAGGTCTGCCTGGTTTTCTGAGGTTTGTTTCTCCCTCCAGCACCACTTTGTCTACGCATGATTATATAACCTGGAATTCCAGACACTGTTTTATCCCCCCATGCTTATCATAGGAAGACTTGTATCCTTTTGCATAAAACTAGGATAACCAGTAGTATGCACCAGGGTAATGGGACTATCTCAGTCCCGTGATGCTTGATACTGCTTCAAAAAGTAAAACCTGCAGAAATTAGTAAGGATAAATAAATGTTAAACGTATTAATCGTTAAAAATATCTGGAGTTTTTGTATGCGTTGTTTATTCCTTGGTTTTTGCTTCATAAAAAGTTAAAACAAAATAATCTAACTTTTCTAAATGTGACTTGTTACATATTTAACTTATGGGTAGATTAATGTCATACATTACTGTGTTCGCCCTAAGAGTTCTTAATGCTCCATATGCTTCAGAACGAATGTGTATGAAGCTTGCTCGAGTAACATCGTTTGACTCATGTCTACAACTCTTGTCAACTGATAAAATTTCTTTATCGAAAACTGCACCCAAAACTTCAACGTCTCAGATCCTCTGTTACTTTAGAGCCGTGTTTAATAAAATAACTAAAACTATTAAACCTGTTTTACTATCGTGGCTTTGTTCTCAAGACGAAGTAAATCAGCGTTATATATCTAAATATCAATCGATAAATGCCTATTTTTGTTTACCATCACAACTAGTTTAAAATGCTAGATGATAACCAAACACCTAATATCTGTTGAGACATTTCTTTATTAAATAAACCTACTGAGATTAGTACAACGTTGCTGTAAATGCTACCGCTTTGTTTGTCTGCTGGGAAGTTGGTTTTCCAATCTACAAATGTTTGACAAGAAAATAAGCAAATTTATTTATAATATACAGCTAGCTTAGTGTCTATGATAAAATTTGGTCGATGTTCAGGGAATTATGCAGCGTCCTTCCTGAATAATTAATAAAGAAATATGAAACTTTTGTAGCTCATGGCTTTCATTTTTGTTGGCAGTGGTACTTCAGTGTTAGGCCTTCAGCTCATCATTAGTTAAAAGCCTGATAATAACTGCAGATTTCTGAGTATTCACTTTGTATCGTCAGTCTTCACATTATAAATCCATGTAATGTGTATACGGTCACCTAGTGACTGACTTCAGAAGGACAATGAATTTACAAGATACTCACCATACTTCTAGATTGTACCATAATATGATATCCCGTAACAAATCACCTATGCTTCATTCGACTTACACGATTGTTTGTTCACTTCCATAAGAAGGGTTACTTGAAATTAAAATAAACCTCAATTCTTGGGATTTTATGTGAACGTTTTGATCGTAGATGGTTAATTCTTTGGTTACTTGTTACTTTTCAACCTATTTGGATCATTCAGAGATTTTTGTGACTCACTCCTGATTATTAACTACTAAAATACTTAAACTGGAATATTCAGTTGCAGCCTATTCGATTTAGACGATGTGGTAACAAAAGTCAAGAATCAATCATTGCTGATGTTATCTCTTGTCAATCTTCTCACATCTAGATACATAATACAGGAAAATACATGTGCCAGATGAATTTGAAGTTACTGGTCACTTTGTTATACCAGCCAGTTTAACTTAGTGTGGTTATTAAAGATTTTAGTGCAGGTTTCCAGTAGTATTTTAGTGGTAACAAATATGTAAAATGATACACTCTAATTATTTTCCTCGTCATGTTATTCCTTTTTCAGGGTGCAAATCCTAATTTTCTTCATCCAACCAAAGGCACAGCACCGATTCATGTAGCCTGTCAATATGGTCAAATTGGTCAAGTGGAATTGTTATTAGCCTACGGAGCAGATGTGTGTATTCGTGACTCATCTGGAAAAACTGTGATAGATGTAAGTCTACTGCCTGTCGATAATAAAGTTCTAAAGCTTTTAAAGTCGTTTTGTTCTTGCATACAATAGTGTATTATCTTCCAGAAAATCAAAGCACTTTTTTCTTAATTTTGAAAATAAAAGTAATTCTTTTTAAAACTTCGTCAAATTGAAAGTAAAACAACACTGTTTATTGTTGTGGCAATTTCCACTCTCAAAGCTTTGTAACTTGTTGGTAGGGATTTGTCGATATATACCTCAGTGGCTTAATCGCCACTTGAGTTTCAGCCAACGAGTGCCGGGTTTGAGTCTCACCCCACCTTACTTGAGCCTTGACAACTGGGTAGTGTCATCACTCCCTACATTATAATCAGTGCGGTTGGTGATATGTATCCATTTATATATATATATATATATATATATGTTGGTCTCTCTTTCTGTTTGCTCGCTTAGTCTGTGACCATTTCACTTGTATGAACTTGTCTCCTTTAACAATGTATATTCCCCTTATATTATATATAATATGAGTGTTTGTTGACAGTCTGTTGCTTGGTGACATATATCCATATATGGTGGTTGTTGACATGTCTGCTATATTTCGCTATGTATATATGGATCGATACTTCATTATAATTAGCCATTCATGTTAAGTCTGTCTAATGATTGTTCACACCCTTGTCTGAATATTCATATATATTTCGCTCTCACAATCTTGTGTGACACTTTGGTGTAATACCACTTTTGCATTCTCCTTGTGTTTGGAAAATAGAAGTATCATCGCAAACCTATTGGTCTTCTGATTTCCGCCTTCTTGCGTCAGGACTATTAAATTCTCGACCAGTCCATAACAATAATTTAGCGACGAGTACATAACAGTTGGTACAGGAGAAAGCTCTTCCGGATAACTGAGTTCTGACAATAATGGCGTTTTACTGCAAGCTGAACGAACGAAGGATTAAAGAATTTTAGGATATCTAAATTAGGATACGATATCAATACATGGAATTTTATTTTATGATTGCTTTATGGTGTGTCGAAAATCTTAGACTGTTTGTAGTCTAGGGTGCATGGGCTTTCTAGAGAAGTTTTCTTGTTCTTGATGATGATTGCCTTTAAAATTCGATATTTCAATTTCCAATTCAGATTTAAAGCTAAAGCTTTCTTGTTCAAATCTCCCACTGATCCCTTATTTGCTCCTACCTTTAATCATTATTGCCATCGTCTTCATGATCATGATCATTTTCAATCACTCTGTCAAATCAAAGTAATCTTAGGTAGGTTATTCAATAACTAACCAACCGCTTCTTCGTGAAATAAGTTTATTGAATTATTACACACAATGATATGGTATTGTTGCGTGTGCTACTGAAAAGATTTATCAGTAGTATATACATACAGAGATGTTCACTGGAATAAAAACATAATAATAATAATAATAATTTGCTTTATTCCAAAACAGTGCTTGTGATACAGAGTGGAATTCTCAGCATTTTACTACAATATTGCATCCAGTTAGTAAATTAACAATAAAATAAAATTCTACATAGATTAAGGGTAATCTCAGTTAGTTTTGACAACAACGTATTGGCATGTCGGTAGCAAAGCCAACATTTGAACAGAGTGTTTGAAAAGTGTTAGAAAAGTAGATACTACTAGCATATTTACTGGCGTAAGCGGTAACAAAAAGGTCGAGATATACGGAGTGTGCAAGTAAAGAAGACAAATGTTTTAAATGGAGTTTGTAAGGAAGAAAGAAACAAAGCAGCACATAACAGAAAAAAGAGAGAGTGAGAAAAGGAAAAGAAAGAAAGAAAACGTTGTACCTATAAGTGATATGAGTTGGAAAGAAGAGATCCAGTTATTCTGCTGACTATTTAATAGGTTTTAGGTATCACGCCTGATGCTTCCCTTTATCGTACAGAACACGAGCTAAGTGGGGGTATAGTTGAGTTTTTGTACTTGCTATTGCGAGCATATAGTTTTTTATAGAGGCTTCTGGTTTTACCTGATGAGATACAAGGGGAGAGTTGTGAATGAAGAGTGTGGTGTGGGTTAGATAAAATGGATTTAGCCCATTTTTCACATGAGTCCATGTGCCTGTCGACCAGAATATTAACAAGCTGTTTAAGTGTCACGTTGCTTACGCTGCTGACAACCTTTAACATCCTGCGTAATAAGGTATAGTCTTTCTTCAGTAGCCCAGGAAAGACTAAGTGGGAACAATAGAGAATAATAGGTAGGATGCAAGAGTTAACGAATTGTAGGAGTAGGGGCTGGGTTATTCCAGAATGTCTAAACTTCTTGATGTAGAAGGTAAGACGGAATATTTTCTTAGAAATCACCAAGATATGAGACGACCAGGAAAGATCAGCAGATAGAATGACGCCTAGGTATTTAATTTCCGACTTGGTCTCTATTTCAGTGCCATCTATGTTGCACACCTCGTGAGTCCTAACCAGTTTGTTTGGGCCAGGTTTGTGCCTAAGGGTGAAATTAACTGTTTGGCATTTGGAGGGGTTTAAGGTGAGACCGTTTTCCTTGGACCATTGACTGATTTCTGAAAAAGAGCCATTTAGTTTGGAGTAGTCGCTTTGACATTTGACAGGCAAAGATACAGTCAGGTCGTCAGCATACTTAACAAAATTAATGTCATTTGAAGATGGTAAGTTATGTTGAAAGAAAGAAAGAAAGAAAAGAGAAGTGGGGAGAGTACAGCACCTTGGGGGACATCAGCTTCAGTGAGCACAGCAGAGGAGGATTTACCTTTGTATACAGTGTTAGAGAAGTAGAAATGCAACCAGTTAGTGACCCAGGACTCAGTTTGTGTCATCGAGAGCTTATTTAGCAAGAGATATCTAGGTACAGAGTTGAAAGCAAAAGTGAAGTCGAGAAACGTGCAGCGAACGTATTTGGCACCTGATCATCACATATCAGGCAGACAGATTTGACGTCAGAGAAAGTAAATGAAACACCTTTGCGGAGAAGCATGAGAAACGTGAAAGAAATACAATGAAACACACTGTGAAGTGCAGAAGTAGCACAACACGGAAGATCTGTGCAAATGGGGCATTTAAAGATAAGGTGTACATAATTTGGCGATATAGAGATACCAAAATCTCTCGAATTCTACCGTTAAACTGCAACTAAATACCAGCACGTTCTAATGTCACGATATTACAGTTGACTATACCCAGGAAACAGTTCTTTATTTTATTTATAAACACGTACATTTATAATATCAGTGTTTCTTTAATAAAACAAGGTTGTAAACTTGTAGTTTATAGATAAATGGCTGACATCTGTATATCACATTAGTTTGTCTTAACCATTCTATCCCGAACACAGGACAGTATCCGTTTTCTATATTGTAAGGCTTTTTATCAAGTTAATTTCTGAAGTTGTCACAGCATACAATAAAGTCTGTCTTTCAATATTTAGAGAACACAGCAATCTAAACGACATAGTTTAAACAATATCTAAAGAAAATCAAAACTCACCTTCAGCAAAAGTGACTGCAGCATTCGACCCTAATGCTGCCTTGCTTTTTCATGCAGGATGTTGGATAAGCTTCGATGCATTAATATAAGCTGGTAAATTTTGTGATGTTGAAGAAACCACAACCTGATTGGTTGGAATAAATACATTCCTTTACCGAATCTTCGTCTACCAGCGTTACAGTATGAATAGTTAGATAACGTTTCAGTCTAGTTAGGTGAAGATGGCATAAAGTTTCTCATAAATAAAGCAAATAATTTCTTAAAGTATTATTCACCTAATTACTCTAGATACTTCATTTTCTTCATAACAGTGATAGTAATAGTATTAATAAATAAAAATATAGCAAATTTTAGTAATTTTCTAATTTGATTAATTTTTGTCGCATAGTCAATTTGTATTTCGTTTGCTATGCTTAGACTAAAATGTCATGTTATTATTGTCATTATAATTAATTCATCTGAGGTTAATAATGTATCTTTTCTCTGTACTGCATGTGTGTCTGTGTGTGTACGGCTTCTTCTTGAAGTCTTCTTCTTTTGGCTACAGTGTGTACTTTGTTCTTGGACATATACACACTGATAGTGTTACTGTTGTGTGTGTGTTTATAGTTGTGTGTGCTGTCTTACTAGTCATGTATCTTAAAAACACACTGCTGTTATACGTTACTAGAATGTTGATGACACAAAATTCCAGAAATTGATTACGATAATTATTAGTACTAATAATACGGTTTAGTCAGTCATCATTCAAAATTTGATGGAAGTCAGATCCTTGTGCTGCTATTACTACTACTACTACAACTGAGTAACTGAATTTCAGTGCACTGGCTTAATCTGTTTGTTTTGCATGTGTTCCGGAATTAGAGCCGTGAGTATACACAACTATGAGAAGCCCTAATTTAGGCAGGAATTGCTGTTTAACGCTTATTAGTTCAAAATATTCGTCTTTAAAAAAAATTCACCAAATATGTGAATATCATTTAATTGGTGGATGGCGATTAACAGTGGAATCCAAGATGCGTATTTCGTCTTATTTCGGACACGTCATCTGGATGTACTTGCATTCACTAGTTAGTGATGATGTTCCCACTGAGGCTCGAACCCAGTGCCCATAGTTTCAAACGCTAAAGTGTTATCCACTAGACCATTTGGGCGACGAGAGCCGCCTCTTGTGCATCGGGTCATATTAATTTTAATTGAATTTGAGATTTTCCCGTCGATTGATTGGACCGAAGTGCTCGGTCTCAGGTTGACATATTGGCTCCTTGTGCAGATGCCGCGACATGTCAACCTGAGACCGAGCATTTCGGTCCAATCAATTGACGGGAAAATCTAAAATTCAATTAAATATGTGGATAACATTCACTAATTAAGTTGTAGTATGGGAAAAAAGCCAAACCGAATCACGTGAAGAATGGAAAAACTTAAGATTTTCGCTTCTGCTCCTGCTGCTGTTTTGTTTGTTCAGATGGAGGATTCATTTGCAAAACCTTGACTGTCTTTCTGGACAAGAATTTCAGCGTT